CCCCCATCCCATGGCTAAGAGAAAACTTGGAGAAATCCAAGTATGAGAGGGAGAAAGAATTCGACATCCGAGTGGCCTGCATGAAGCATATCGAGAAAACAGGCAAAGTTGCTACAGGCAAAACCGCAGTGGCAGGCATCCCTCAGTCCAACAACGCGTTCCATCTGCTACGACAAAAGAGCGAATTGTCAGAATTCAGCGCGTTTAGATACAATGAGGAAAAGAGGGAAAGGGAAGTAGGCTCCTCAGACTCAGATTCGGGATAGGAAACATAGGCACCAAGGGACTCCATAAGAGGAATGGCCCTGAAGAACTGGAAGCCGTCTAAGGGCAAGGAAACGAAACCCAGGAAGCCGTCGAACGGCAGGAAAGGTCAAAAAAGTGAACAAAGACAAATCACTCAGGAAATTGCGACGGTAGCTAACGGTAGCTGTGCAGACGAAACTCCTGTTTGAGCGGAACGCAGACTACAAGAAAGGACACGAAAAGGAATTTATTACTATCCAGAAAATCGCTGAGAATACAACCCCGACTGTCATTGAGACAACGAGGACGGACAGGAAAACATCAAACCAGTCCGTCCCGTGGTGCCAGTCCGGTTCAGGAGCAGATTTAATGAATGGCAGGTTGCGACGAAGGAGTCCTTCGCCATGCCTACCAGCAGCGATGATCGTGCCCTGGCCAGATGCATCAAGGACCTCATATCCACAGACGACCCCTTGGGAGTCTACGAGGTCCCCCAATGCGAGGCAGCTACGATCAGCGACACCATCGCCGCGGATGCGAACCGCAGAGCTTTCGATCCCATTATCGTCAAACTAGACGAGAAAGCAAAACTCCAGGAAGGCCTCACCTGGAGAGCGTGGAACACCAACATGACACTCCCCTACAGCGTGCTTGCAAACAGATCATGCCCGACAAGAATGATGGCGGACTCACTGGCTGCRACTCACCTCCTCACCTCGAAGAACTCCTTGCRAGACGAGGYGAYCCCGATGCAKGTCGAAYTGATGGACAGCGACAGCGGAGAGGACAGGGACGATGGAATGTTGGACAGCGATAAGATCTCCCCAGGTGACGATGGCCGGGATGGCCCACCCCCGTCCAAGGACAGCGTGAGTGTGTACAGCCTACCCCCGTCGACCAGCAAGGAAGACAGTGGGGGATCCGACATTGAGAGCCGCGGGACAGCGGTTGACTAGGCAACCCAACCAAACGTCAGACAACTAACTCCCCCACAACAACAAACAGGAAACAACAGCACCACAGGGAACAAGGAATAGATCGACAAAATAGGACAAACAGCCTAGGATGCAGAGTCAATCCATGAAAGCCGGCTCACTACAAGATAACAATATCACGATAGACTGGCAAGCCAAAGGACTCAAAATAATCAGCTGGAACGTGAATGGGCTGGGTAATGTATTGACAGAGGAAGATAAGTCAAGGGATATCCGACTAGGCCTCTACGAAAGGAACAGATCCAGACCAGATGTGGTGCTACTCCAAGAAACTCACCTGTCCAATCTCCCAAACCACGGGAACATAAAAAGGGCAATAGAAAAAAACTTGGGGGGCTGTGCTTTTGCATTATGGTCCAACCTCAAAGGGCTCAACAAACGGGGGACAGCCATACTCGTTCCCAACGCTTCCAAGCTATGGTCAGAAGGTCAGATTCTCAGCAACGAGGGAGACAACGCAGAGGCTAGATGGTCATGGATAGACGTCGGATGGCAAGAATAGGATCTGAGAATTTTTAACATATACACCCCCAACCCAGAAACCGAACGCCTTGACTTCTTTAACAACATCCAGTCCCTCATATCGAATCCCCAACCGGTGATCATCGCGGGTGACTGGAACACGACCCTGGATCCAAACCTAGACCGCATCTCTCGCTCTCAACTGATGGCCCAACAAGAGCAGAAACCCATATAAGAAACATTATGACAAAATTCGACCTCATCGACCCCTTCAGAACGCTGCACCCAGTGAAAAAGGCCTTCTCACTGATTAAAAAGAACCAGGCCAACCGGACGTCATTGTCCCGGATTGACTTCTTCTTAATCTCCAAGCACCTCCAAGGCATAATTAAACAAGACGAGATCCGCCCACCAGCGGCCTTCCGGGGTCTAGACCACAAGCGAGTAGAATTGCTCCTGAACTTTGACTCCCCCACGGAAAGAGGTCGGGGCTTCTACATAATCAACAACTCCCTCTTAGCCACCGAAAGACTAACAGAGGCAGTCAGATCGAATTGGTTCTTCATGAGACAGAACAGCRCMAGACWAGACAACAGACACAAGTGGTTCACAGACAGCTATGTATACCTCACCCAGACAGTCTCAGCGGAATCCCAGAGCATCACAGGAGAACARAAGATCAGAAAAGAAGAACTCCAACTCGCCATATCCCTTGCAGAGGACAACCTTGCCACAGACCTGGACTGGCGCTCCCCAGAATGGACATGGAGCCAGGACCATAAGGACCTGTTTTACCAAAAAAAAAAAAAAAGAAAAAAAAAAAGGGAAAGACATGTGCGATGTTGTTTGTGTATCTGTGTTGATTTAACCTTTTCTGTTCCAGTTGTGTGCTTTTGCATCCACTTTGGGCCTCGCCACACCACTGTCGAAACGGAAAGAGAATGGATGCATCTGCCCCAGAAAGCGGTAAGATGCATCCATCGCTATTCATAGTGGCGGATGCATCTCGCCCTTCTCGGCGGGAAGATGCATTCGCTCGTTTTTTGTTTCATTTCGACAGTGGTGCGGCGAGGCCCTTTTCATCTTTTCGATTCCGAATTTCCATATCCAGCTGGTTGATTTAGTCTCCAGTTTCGTGTCAGCTAATGCATTTGAGGTTTTTTTTTTTTTCCAAATTTTGTTGTGTTTGGTTGTTTGATCCTGCAGTGATGGAGTTTGGGATACTCTGCCCAATGACGTGGCAGGGGATGTTGTTCGCCGATGCCTTGCTGCGCGTTCCAGACCGGGGCCGGAAAACTTTTCTGACAGTGACGACGACGACGAGGAGGAAGAGGATGAATACAATGGTGCAGAGACTGCTGCAATAGTCCTTGTGAGACTTGCCAAAGTCGCCGGCAGTGCTGATAATATTAGTGCAATTGTCGTGAACCTTCACGAATACGCTCGGCAAATGCAGCCGTGAGGGAATGAAGGATAAGTCCCTTCTTGGAGACGTGCAATCAAACTACCTCCTAGGCTCTTACCATCCTCCGCCGAATAGAYTGTACGGTCGTTATAGCTCTATGTAGACCTAAGGTGGTGCAAATTCAGCTGTACCGACCGTACATTCTATTCGGGTGAAGGCGGTAGTCGCGCGTGTGCTGCGTACCGGAGGGAGAGAATTGCCGGAGGTGGAAGCCGCCGAACGCACAAAACATAGGCGGCCTTTACTTGTTGCCTATATGATCGCTGAGCAGCGGCGCATGTCATACGTTTTATACCCCCTGTCACCCTGTACCATTTATTATGGAATCTAATGGGGAATTGCAGGTGCAAACATGCGTGTGGCCAATTGGAAACTGGGAGAAGATGCGGGGCAAGCACACACCTGAAGGCTGTTATGTCTGTGGTATGTGGATCTCAGAACTGAGCTGCGTATGCCATGCAAAGCACCATGAGACCCTTACATGTATGCCATCATCGTCTTCATCGTCATTTTCATCTTCGGCATCGTCTGGATCAGGTTTTCAACATTCTTGCCATTCTTGGGGTTGCGGATACAGAGTAGGGTTATCTCCAAAGGAAGATTGGGGGAGACGGGATCACAGAAGCAAGAGGTCGGCTGACCTGCACGGGGATTTGTCATACACCAAGTGTCTCTCTGCAAGTCGATTTGTCGATGAAAAATGTTGACGAGAAAGCCGCAGGAGACGATGACATCACCCGCCACATCTGGTGCATTGTGTCCCTCCACTCACTGCAAGCCTCTTTTGTGGCCTCCCTACGGCAATGATGTTGATCGTCGCCTTCTAAAGTCATGTCGTTCATGACTGTTATGGTAAACCACTACTGCATTAGTCGACTTCACATCGCTCCCTTTTGCTCTCTCCTCCCCCCCCCCCCCCCCCCACACACACACACACATCACAAGTGCTCTCGTCCTTCCACGTCCCTAGAAAATTATTTGTTGGGTCTTCTAATAATGGAGCCAAGCCCTGAGGAGTTCACAGTGATTTAGATTTCTTTAGCGCATAAGAAATCAGTTTGGTGTCGGCCTCCTCTTTCCAGGAGCACTCGAAGACGAAACTGCCAGATTTCGGACATTCTGATTCCATCCTCTTGGCGGACATGCTTAGGTCGATGTGATATTGTGTGATCCCATGCGATGCGATCGGCACTACGTCATGAGATGGCATCCAAGCAATAGCCAATTTGGCAGTTTGGCAATTCAACCATTTCAGATTTTAGATTACCCCTTTCAGAAAGTTGATGTTATGTCATATTACTGTGAGTCCATGGGACTCGGTCAATTGAGCTTTGAGGCAACATTGAGCTTCTGCTGGTTGCAGTTGGGAAAAGCTGTGTCCTTTTCTCAACCCCAACCTTAATCTTTCGATATATTTGTTATTCTAGTTTCCGCCGAAAGCGCTACTATTGTACACAAGATGAGTTTCACATGTGTTACCGACTTGACTCGACCCGACTCGACTCGACTCGACTCGACTCGACTCGACTCGACTCCATTAGTGCACAATTTGACAGTCAGGGTATTGTGCGGGATCCTCCACGCTTGGCAGTAGGACTGTCGACGATATGCGGTCCGGCCAGTTGTTGGTTTCCCTTGATATCTGCTCACAGCAGTGTTGCTCGGTTTACGTTGAATATTATACGATGTCTCTTTGGTGCGCTCCTGCTCTGATGTCGATCAGGGCGTACTCACACTAGGAGCTCCAGCTGCAATCGCCGTTGTAATTGCCGCGAGGTACGCCCAGGAAAGCGCTAATGTGAGTATGCTCTCACTCTCTTTATTTGCTTTCGTTACCCCATCTACCGCCGACAATTTCCGAGAAGTTGTCCACTTTCTTTTTTTTTTACTGCAATTACCGAGAAGTTATCCACTTTTTTTTTTTTTTTGCTTTCTTCTCTTGTAAAAGGGTGACGCCCTTGAGATACCATGATATATCATCATCAAGCCTACAGGACGCAGGTAATTCGAAATTATTATATTCTATTCATCTGAGTCTGTACTTCAAACAGTTCATTGGGTGTACCAGCTGAGTTCTTAGGCCCATTGGCTGCAGTCATCTCCTTTCGGCTGCCGCTGCCGCTGCCGCTGCCGCTGCCGCTGCCGCTGCTGCTGCTGCTGAAAGTCTATGTCTGCCTGTGATAGCTTGCCATCCTGCAGCCACATCTGTCCTGGGTCAGCTGATCTGATCCATGGCTGATGCTCAGTCTGCAACTCGCCGCGCCTCATGTTATTGTCTGTCTGCTGCGTAGTGGCGCCATGTTTCTGGTTTAGTGTCGTAGCATGGTTTCAACCTGCCTGTCATGTCATTCTTTGCTCGATTTACTTCCCCTGTTTTATTTCAGATTGCTTGCTGATCAGCATGTGTCTGTTTTGGCCCAGGAATGAAGTTGGCTCTGACTGCGTCAGCTGCTGCACGGTACTTATATCAACTTGTATGAGACCCACTTTGTCTCTGCGTGCCTTCTGTTCTTACCACCTAATGTGACTCTCTCCTTCATAGTACAGGTTCTTTGCCTCCTTAGTTCTCGTACTCTTAGAGGTCGTCATCGTAATGGCGGATGACATTTGGTTGTTTCC